CTGCCTCTTAAAGCTGGTGTTCCCTTGATTTCTTATGTTATGAAGGGTGCAAATTTCCTTACCTTTTGACCATTCCTTCCCTTTCTGTCCTTCCTGCTTCCTGAAGTTCTTAAGAGGTGTGTCCCTGTCTTCACTCTCCATCCTTCTGTCTATCAACATGATGTTATCTGTCAGTTCTGTATAGGTGAATCCCAAGTAGATGAATCCTTTCTAGATTTCAGTAGCCCTGTTTATGAGTCTGGTGGTTATTTCCTCACAAGTATCTAGTAATTATAGAACCACATTCTTTCCCTCCTCTGTCAAAACCAACTTTTTTTCACGCTTGAAACATAGTAAATTAACTGTGAAAGTGAAAGTCGCTCAGTCTTGTCCGACTGTTTGCAACCCCATGGGCTATACAGTCCGTGGAATTCTCCAGGCCAGAATACTGCAGTGGGTAGCCTTTCCCTTCTCCAGGGGATCTTCCCAACCCAGGGATCAAACCCAGGTCTCCCGCATTGCGCGCGGATTCTTTACCAGCTGAGCCACAAGGGAAGCCCAAATTAACTTTACTCAGAGAAAGTAGTATTGAAGAGAAAAATGGGGAAGAGAAAGACTTTTGTTAACTATACGTCAATTTAAAAAACAAAAGTCTTTCTCTTCCCCATTTTTCTCTTCAATATTACCCTTCTCTGAGAGTAAAGCAAACTTGAGTCATCTCTTGCTATTCTTTGCCTCGTGGCCAATTGTGATGCCCGTCTTTCTCCCGTGGCCATTTGTGGGGCCGAGGCTTTGTTAGGATTGTTTCGGCAGCTGTTACAGCCTTCTGCCTGGTCTCCCTTCTGCACGTCTCTGAACTGCCCCGAAGGCGTCACTGTCCCCACCCTACCATGCTTTATTGTTTCCCTTGACTCCCTGACAGACACCGGGGCTCCCGATAGACACCGGGGCTCCCTGATAGACACCGGGGCTCCCGATAGACACCAGGGCTCCCGGTAGACCCTGGGACTTCCTGACAGACCCTGGGGCTCCCTGATAGACTCTGGGGCCCCCGATAGACACCGGGGCTCCCTGATAGACACCAGAGCTCCCGATAGACCCTGGGACTCCCTGGTAGACACTGGGACTCCTGTTAGACACTGACGTATCTGTTTCTCTTTGTGTCTGCCTAGAATGTAAGCTTCTGGTGGGGTCGAGAGCTTGCCTCTCTTGTTTCCTGCTATGTCATTGAGGCCTGGCTCATAGAAAATGTGCAGAAAACATTTGAATAAATATGGAGATATATTTGAATGAATATGAGGGAAATAGTTCGATGAACATGGAGAACTGTTATTTTAATATGTTTTAAAGACTCCCAACTAGTGTCCTGTGAATAAATTACGGGTAAGCTGAGATGTCGATCCCCTCAGCCAACTGGCCAGTTGCCCTCTGCTCTACAAGAATGCACACGAATGTTTATTACTATTATTAATAATTGAAAATCAGAGACATCTCAAGTGTTCATCCACGTAGGAAACCATTATATTCACAGAATAGAATACTGTGCAACAGAGCTTCTCAACTTCAGCACAGTTAATTCCTTGTTGTGAGAGATTCTTCTGTGCGTTAAAAAAATGCTCAGCTATGTGCATGACCTCTAGCCACTGGATGCCAGCAGCGGTGCCGCAGTTAGGACCACCGAAACACTGCCACGTGCGTGCGCCCTGGAGGGCACGTTCTCCCCAGGTTGGAAACCCCTGCTGTGTGATAGTGAGAATGCGACAAGGACGAGCCCCACAAACCTAATATTGAGCAAAAGAAGCCAGTTGTAAAAGACGGGATAATATCTCATTCCACATCCTTTAGAAACAGGGAAGACTATCAGATGGGAATAGAAGTCAAGATGGTGGTTATCTTTCCATAGGTGGTGATTAGGAGAGGACCAAACCCCCAGTTTGGTTGATATTCTGCTGGGGTTTGGTGATATTCTGCTTACCGACTGGACGGTGCTACACAAACATGTTCATCTTGTGAAAATCCATACCTATACGCTTAAAATCAATTTGCCTTTCTTTCTGTATGCTCTGATGCCCTTAAGGCTGGCTCCTGAGTCCTTGTGTAACTTTGACTTTTAGGGCTCAGGAGCCGGCCTGAAGGAGCTGTTCCCAGTGGCTGTAAACTGGGCCAGTGGGAGCAGCAGATAGTGCTAGTGGTGGGATTATAACTCAAAGAGTAAGATAAGTATTGATGAGCCCATCCTTGTTTAAATAAATGATCAAATAAATAAATGAGGGAGAAGGAACAAATCTTTCTTACAAAAGAACTCCAAGTGATGTTGAAGGAAGGAAAGAAAGAAAATCGCCACTAGAACACCATAGTAGTGGTAGGCAAGATCCTCAGAGGAATGCTAAAATTAATAGGTGATGCTTTTAGGAGAAACAGGTACTTTGCATACTATTTTGCATTGCAAAATACTCCCCCCCCCCGCCCCCTCCCCAAGACATTTATATTGCAGTAGTTTTGATATAGGTCTGCACACATTCTTCAGTACAACTCCTTCAGGCAGTGGCACTTAATTCCCTTATTTCCCTTACCCTAGAGTGTGGCCTGGACCTTGGGGCTCGCTCTTAAAGAATAGAAGATAAAAAGTGAGAAATAGTGACTTACAGTGAGAAACTGGCAGACCCCATCGTAACCAAATGAGCACAGTAAAGCAGGTCATTCTTCAGGCACTTGCCCCCTCACGTGATGTGATGAGAAGGGCACTTTATGACGTTCTCCCTCAGAACTCCAGTCTATTAATAGGAAAATATCAGACAGACCTAAATCAAGACATTTATTATCTTCTAGTACTCTTCAAAACTAGGAGGGTCAAGATAAACAAGGAAAACATGAGAAATGTATTAGAAGACATTAAGGAAATATGAGCCCCCAAATGCAACGTAGCATCCTGGATTAGGTCCTGGAATGGAAAAGAAATTTTTGGAAAAATTCAAAGTCCAAATCAAGGCTATATAGTGTAGTTAGTAAGCTTCCAAAATTAATTTTTTAAGGGAAGCTGGTTTAGGGTATACGAAAATTCATCTTTACAACCGTCTTTACAACTCTTCCATAAATCTAAAATTATTTTTAAATGGTTGTTGTTGTTTTTAAGTAAAACCATATAAAAAGATGTACTCAGAGAAATCTTGTTCCCATCCCAGTTCTTCCCATTCCCTATTGGTAACCAGTTTTTTGATTAGTTTTTTTTTTTTAAGTAAAGATATCTATTCTTACTTCCCCTCTTTTCTTACATAGATACGTACCAATGTTAGTAACTATGTATGCTGATCCTGGAAATTTCTCCACCCCCATAGTTAAAGATCTTTCTCAGTCTGTCGTCATAGCTGCATGGCACACTAATGTACCAGATTACTCAGCTAGTGCCCTAATGATGGGCATTTGCACTGTCTATAGTTTTTGCTGTTATAAACAATACTTTGAATGATCTTGTGCACCTTTGTCTTCTATTTGTGATGATGTTGTCAGAGTAGATCCTTCGAAGTAGAATTGCTAAATCAAAGAGCAAGTGCTGCTGCAATTTTGCTACATATTGCCAAATTCCCCTCTGTGAGAGTTGTTCCATTTTGTACCCCCACCAGCAGCATATGAGATTACTTGCTTTTCTCTGGCCTTGCCAGCAGAAAAGATTTGGGCTTTTTGCCAATCTAATGGGTGAGAAATGATATCTCAGTACGACATCTGAGATATACCATTTTCTGGATATATTATAAGATAAAGCAAATATATAAATGATATAACTGAAGATCAAGTTTTTCAGTGCAAAGGAAACATATAGACAGATACACACACATATATAAACGAGATCAAAGATTAAGAAAAAACCAACTCTTTATTTTTACTAAGCATCATTATGAACTCTTAATATATATTGAGGCTTTAGTGAACCAGTCTCCCCCGGCCCCCACCCATTGCCCAGTTCAGTCACACAAAGAGTAAATTAGTTCAAGAAGATTACTTTTCTCCAGGTAGTACTTCATTCTTCCTGTTGGAGGAAGACCACATTCTCTTTAGAGCTCACAGGTGCAAGGAGAGCAGTCCACCCCCTGTCACTTTTCTGACCAGAGATGAGGTGTGGCGCACAGGAGAAGTTAGGTTTCCAGATTAACCGAAGACCCTGGCCCAGAGCCTGGCTGCCTGGATGCTACTTTCTTGCTGAACCAGACCAGTCTGGTTCTAGCTGCCTCTTTAGAACCTTTTCTCTGCCCTGTATGAAAATTCCTGTTTTCTGGTCCAATTTATAAATAATTTACATATTATAATGATCTCTAGGTGAGAATTCTTATTTATTGTTTTCTTTTCCCAGCTTAGAGGTTTTAGAGAATTTCTTCATTCTGAATGAGAGAGAAGGGGATGAGAGCAAGAAAAATTTAAAGGCACTTCTTCTTTTCCTTATAGACCACCTCCCTCCACCCTCTCCCCCTAGATCACTATACCCATACCTGACCTACATTGCTCTGTTCAGTGGCTTGTTCAGATATCAATTCATCCAGTATGGTGGCTTTTCTAAGTGAAAGTACCTAAATGGAATCAAGTAAACTAAAAAAGGGAAAGTTTGATTGGATGCTAGATGGAAGAAATGGATAATTTTGGAGCATAAATCTTTTGGGTTAGGACAGACCTAGGTTTCACTGAAGAACAGAATGTAGACCAGCATGAGGAAGCTAGGTCTAATGAAGAAAGGCAGAAAGAAATGAGACAAATGCTCTTCCTTTTAAGCTGTGAAATATGGGATTTATCATACTACATGTCACTTGAGTGTTATATTGTGTTTGGAGATGAGCCTGGTCTTCTAAATGCCAATCAGTAGTGTGTCCTCTATTGGAATTTTTTTAATCAAGTACAAATCTATGATTGTAGATTGTTTATAATGATGGAGATTGTTTAATGTGAGGTATCCCTTTCCAACATTACTTCTCTTTTTCTCAGGATTCTAACATTTTTCTGAAAGTCTTTTGGAAAGAACAAGTCTACTTCAATAAATGAAGGAGAATAAAGAAAATTCAAGCCCTTCAGTAACCTCAGCAAACCTGGACCACACAAAACCATGTTGGTACTGGGATAAAAAAGACTTGGCTCATACACCCTCACAGCTAGAAGGACTTGATCCAGCTACTGAGGCCCGGTACCGCCGAGAAGGGGCACGGTTCATCTTTGATGTGGGCACACGTTTGGGACTGTATCCTGTTTCTGGAATCTACAATAGATGGGTTTCCCACCACCACCACCAAGAATTAAATTAGGCATTATAGATAAAAGAGTAACATCCCTGACTAAAACAGCTTTTAAATATCTTTCTTATTTAAATGCTACTTCAGATTTGCTTGGCTCCTTAGGGGTTTTCTGTTTCTTTTTTACAATGTAAGTGTGTAGACATAGCCACTGAGCTTGTGGCCAACAGAATGGAAAGCAGCGCCTGCCGATCACAGAGGGAGTACACCTAAGGATAGTGAAGCCCTGCCTTCTTAAAGCTTCCCAGGTGATGCGGTGTAAAGAAGCCACCGGCCGATGCAGAGACGCAGGGCCAGTCCCTGGGTGGGGAAGGTCCCCTGGAGGAGGGCATGGCCACCCACCCTGGTATTCTTGCCTGGAGAGTCCCGTGGACAGAGAAACCTCGCAGGCTGCAGTCCGTGGGGTCACACAGTCAGACACAGCTGGGCACACAGCACACACACCTTATTAAAGCACAGGCTGCAGCTTGCACCAGAGTCCTGACACCTTGAGGCTCCCCTTCACCTGCTTTGTCACTGATAATATGTGCCTTCCCACTTCTCTTGTTGTTATTGTTCGCTTTTATTATTTTTCTGCATTTAACAAAGACATGACTCTTGGCCAAAGTCCTTAACCAGAACAACAGACACTATGACACCCTGGCAACTGGAATAATTTATTTTCATCGCTTCTATATGTTCCATTCCTTCAAGCAATTTCCAAGATATGTAAGTATTTTAATTCTGTTATAATTCTCTATCATGTGTTATTATTTCTACATAGTTCAGTGAACAGACTGTAGCCTTTCTTTTTATTGTATTTTACAGGAAGTATTCATTTCTGTATGGTGCGTACTATATATAAACAAAATCAAGTTCAGACTTTGTTTTTTCCCAGTTAACTGTAGTAAAATCTTGTTTGGGTCGGTATGAACCATAATCGTGTCGCCCTTAGTGGACTTTACTCCCTTGTTACTTTTCCCAAGATAAGATTGGCCTTACGGTTGAGACCCAGCAAAGGCCAAGATGGCATAGGGGCTCTTTGTCCCGTGTCAGGGAGTCTTCAGTTACTTTTTAAACCTGCTCTCTGGGAGATGCCACCTCCAGTAGTCTCCGGGCCAGGACAGCTGGTCTGATGAATGCCAAGCGCGCAGTAGAGAGCGAGGCCACGGGAGAGGCAGGGAGGAAGGCTAGCGCTCCAGGGGAGGGGCTGCCTGCATCATGGAGGAGTCGGGGGGGGGGGGTGCCAGGGAGACGATGCCAGCCCTGAGTTAAGCCTTGGCGGTGAGTGGGACCTGGCTGCACTGAGGTGAGACTGAGCAGTCGTCCGCCAGAGACCAAGCTGAGCCAGGCTCTGGGGCGGGTGTGCAGCCAGCCAGGAGGCCTGTGGGCAAAAAGGGCATGGTGGGACTCTGGGTGCAAAAGTAGTCTGAGCTAGACTGTTGTGGACCTTGAATTCCAGACCGGGGAACTGTGACTTTAATAGGTCAGCCGACGTGATGGGAGGGTTTTATGAAGAAGACAGAATTAGACATAACAGGAAGTTAGTCTGCTGGGGCTTCTTCCTTTTGCTGAAAGTTACTCAGTTTTGCACGCATCTCTTCCTAACTAGTTTGTGATGTTCTCGGGGGAGAGACCGTGTCTAGATCCGCTTTGTACTCCAGCACGGTACTGACTGCTGTGTGACGTGTGGTCAGGACTCTGTGAGTGGAGGGGCACGTAGAAGAGCAAGCAGGCAGAGGAAAGCTGGAGGCAGAGCAGTGAGACGGTCACAGGGACGAGGAGCGGGACCAGGAGTCGGGCAGCAGAAGGAAGGAGAGAGAGCACGGGCCGTGGTACGGGGCGAACACGCTCTGAGCAAGGCTACTGGTCAGGGAGGCAGTGTCTCTAAGAACACAACATGAAGAGAAAGTTTGTTTTTGTGACTTTTCCCGTCTACATGATTTACATGGCATTTAATTTAGAAAACTATATTTTAAATAATTTGTGAAGCCGAATTGGAGGTCGCAGGGTGGATTGTCTGTATGTGGACTTCCCTTCAGGTTTTTAGAGTGCCCTAGTGTTTGTGAATGAGAAGAGTAAGACAAGAAGGGAGGCGTCCCAGTTGATTGTGAAGGCCCCAAATCCTTCTGTTTCTGGGTGAGCCCTGACAGTGAGATCAAGAGCTTTTGTCTTCCTTTTAGGTGACAGGAGCTTGTTGTCTCTTTCTGGCTGGGAAAGTAGAAGAAACACCAAAAAAATGTAAAGATATCATCAAAACAGCACGGAGTTTATTAAATGATGTACAGTTTGGCCAGTTTGGAGATGACCCAAAGGTAAGAATCATAACTTCCTGTGCTCAGGTCTTGATTCCTCAGGGCAGCATTGTGGCAGAGTTCCTTGTGTTGACAATGGATGTGGACCCAGTATCTGCCAGTCCCTGGAATCCCTAAGAGGCCCTTATACAGAGATTGCTCTTCCTTGCTTCTGTGAGTAAGGAGGGGAGATAATGTACTCCACACTTAGGTGGCAGCTACTGATGTGCTGTGTCGGCTTCTGAGCCCTTGAAGGGCAACAGCACGTAGAACCAGTAGGAGCAAAGTTCTCTCGTGGCCATTAGCACTCTTAGGCCCAGAAGCAGTTTGGCTTCTTGGGTTACTCTCTAGCCGGCTTCTGGGCAGACAGAAAGTACAAGTGCTGTATGTACATGTGCTGTGTGTCTTTTGCTTCCCAAGAATGGTGGAAGATACGAACATTTGCAGACACCCAGATTAATAGACTGTCCATCTTGTCCCTTCCCCACAACACCTGCTACTGTCAGGAAATGGTGGCAAAATAATTGTACACATTCTTTTAGTATGTTCTAAAAAGACCACTTTCAGGGATTGGTATTAGCTTTCCTTCTCCCCGGTCCTTGTCAGGATCTCTCATTATGATCCTTATAGCATTGACGAGAGTGATCCTTTATGACATTTATCACAGCTCATAATTACGTAGCTTTTTTTAACCAGGTCGACACACACAGAGTATCCCTTTTCTCAGTTGTCGTCTGTGAGCGCTCAGACCCTGTCTGTTCTGCCTGGTGCCTAGTGTTCTCTCCTGGCTGGACAGGGTAGACATTTAGTAGGTACTTGTTAAGTAAATGACAGACTGAGATTGTGGGGAGAAACTGAGAATCACAGAAATGCAAAGCTGACCCAGTCGGAGACGTTCGGCGCACCCACGGCCCTGTTTCTCCTAGTCAGCTGGTGTTGCTTCCCATGGCAGTCACCCTCCCTCCGGCCCGCAGAATCTGTGTGTGTATAAAACAGGTTTGCTAGTTTTCCTTCTCCCTTCAAAGAGGTGACAGAGGCCAGAATGCTTTTGCACGTTCTGTGGTTGCAATAAATGGTGGTCCTTTGTGTAAGTATTGTCAGTGTGGGTAACCTTTTCCTTGAACTTGTTTATAAATCCATTCACCTGTTTATAAAAATGTGAACCTATGATAAACTCATAACTACCAGTGGTCAAAAATATATTTTATGAAAGTAATGTACCATTAGATATTTCTGATGCCATAGGTTTTTTATTTTCACAGAGCACAGAATCTGTTGTAGAAATGGATCGTGCTTTAGTCAGGTCTGGTTGCAAGGGCAGAAGGACCTTGTGACTAGCGAGCCGTGGTTACTCAGGAGTTGCAAAGATCTGGAAGCTGCGGCCGCTGGTGTGCGTCGTCCAAGGCGCCTTTGGAGGAGTCCTCTTCGCTTGCAACCTTAACCCCCTGCACCAGCACGCCAGGAACCTGAGACCCGGGCGAGGCACAGCGAGATGGAAGTACTGCGGCTCAGTGCCCAGAGGCCAGCAAGTGGGGAATGGCCATGCTCATCAAGCTTTTAATGCAGGCCAGCTTGACCCACATGGGTAGAGGGCTTTGTAGCCCACACTCTGCTTTCTTACATGCAGTCTCCCTACACCTGACTGGGTGTCAGGGCCACAGGAAAGAACCTGGGTCTGGGAGCAGTGAGAACACTGTGATAGATACTGTCTCGATGGAGAGGAGAGGAGGGCAGTTTGGAGGGAGGCCATGTAAGCATGTAAGAAAAATAAGGTCCTGAATCATGTCCTAATAAACTTTGCCCGAACTGTGTGATTTCCCCAATAGGTTAATCTCTCATGTACTCAACAAGTACTTGTTCCAGGCTCTGTGTTAAGCACTAGACATCGGTAGCAATAGGGCTTCCCTCGCGGCTCAGTCAGTAAAGAATCTGCCTGCAGTGCAGGAGACTTGGGTTCGATCCCTGGGTCAGGAAGACCCCCTGGAGAAGGGAATGACAACCCACTCCATATCCTTGCCTGGGAAATCCCATAGACAGAGAAGCCTGGTGGGCTTCAGTCAGTGGGGTCGCAAAGAGTTGGTCATGACTGAGCGACTAACACTCACAGGTAGCAAAACAGGCATGGCCTTTGCTCTCATGGTTTTTACAGTCGAGTAGAGGGATAGATTTTATAATCAAACATTCAGATAGCCAGTGATCTGCTTATGAGATGTGATAAATGCTGTGAAAGGTTATTTAAAGGTGAGGTGCGGGCTTGCCATCTGGGAACGTAGGCAGGTACTCCAGACAGGTAGTATGGGGCTGAGGGAAAGTTCCCTGAGGGGTGATGCTGGCACCCAGACCCATAATTATCCCTTTAATTGAGTATCTGAAACAAAGGGAGGCCAGGCCTTGAGCTGTCTTGTAATACTGTACTGTATGGGCTACAGTCTGGACACTTGTTAAAGAGTGTTCCCAAATTTAGAAGACACGATGAAGCTTCTAGGAAACAGGTGGTGACAAAAACACTGAGGGGTTGGGGTGGAGGAGACAGTGATGGTGGGAATCTTTTTTTCTTTTTTTTTTTTCATACTGTATGAAAGTGTTAAGACTTGAAAAAACTTTCTTGAGAGAACACTTGGGAAACTTGAGTGGAAGCACATTCACCCTGCCTGCCTTGCCATCTGGAATAACTCTTGTGGTAGAATCCTCTGCCTTCTGTGAACTGATACCATACTTGAACCTAAAACCAGTTATCTACATGGCTTCTCTTCCCAGAGTTAACAGATTTATGTAACTGTTAACGATGAGATTGTCAGTCTCTTGAAACCCTTTCTTCTTCAACTCAAACAAGTGATTCTAACTGTTCTTGCCACACAGAGCATCTGGACAGTATTTTACAATCAAGTGAAATTGTCTTAATGTAAGTGCTCAGTCAGGCTGTACAGCCGTTGGATTCAAGAAGTTCTTGTTTATTAACTAGTTAGGAAGTATAATCAAAAGAGATTCCATTTACAATAACAGCAGTAAAATAATATATCCAGGAGTAAACCTTAAAAGAGATTTATGGAAACCATGTTGGGGCTGGGAGACTTTAGAACTACAAAAGGACTGGAAAGGAGATTTTGAAAAATAAATTTTTGATAGTAAGATACAGTGTAATTAAAACGTCCATTCTATAAATCAGTGAGTTCCCAGTCAGAACATAGTGGCCTTCATTTTTTCTAGAATGGTACCAAATAAAATGATATTAAAATGCAGATGTTAGGGGGAACATGCAAAAACAAGAAACGTTTTTTAAAAGAGAAGTAATAATTGAACTGTCCCAAATGTTTAATCACTTTGGTCCTGGTACAGAAATAGACCAACAGATCTATGAACAAAAAAAAGATTGTATGTGAGCACACATGTGTATATGAATAGGCAGCTTAGGATATAGTTTGATAAAAGAGAAGATGATGATTTATTCAATAAATAAATTGGGAAAGCCTGTTTCAGGAAGATGAAAGATTAAAACACAGTAATAATGTGCCCCATTCACACACACACACACACATTTAACTGGTATAATTCACTGTCCAGGTATGCATGAAGCTGCCACTGTTACAGTCTTTCTTGCTTAAAATTTTCAGTGTAAATGCCTGAAAGATTGCATTTTTTAATACAGGTTTGGAAGGAAACCAAGGTTTATTAATAAAGTAAAGATCTGTTTTTTAAAGGGGGCTCATGTGTGTTGAACGTAATAACATTTCTGAGAATGTTTGTTTCCAGTAGTTTTAAAAATTAACTCTGATTGTTTTGTTTTCCTGCTTGTAGTTCTTTTGAGAATTTTATCGTCTTCTGAGCATGTTAAAGGCCTGAGTGGGAGAGAGGAGAAAGGGAATGAAAAATAGTTTCTAAAATAGAACTTGGGAGAGAGAATAAAAGGAAAGCTCACGTTTCTAATGCTGTTTCAGACCTGTGATTGAAATTACTACCCCAGCATTTGTCATTTCATTTTTAGGAAGAAGTAATGGTTCTGGAGAGAATCTTACTGCAGACCATAAAGTTTGATTTACAGGTAGAACATCCGTACCAATTCCTACTCAAGTATGCAAAACAACTCAAAGGTGAGAAGGAAAAACGTTACGAAGAAAACCTCTTCATTCTGAAATCATCTGTATAATGATTTGATGACACTCAGATTACACTTTTCAAGAGAGAAAAGCAGAAAGTTCAGTGTTTGAAGTACCCAGGCCATAGCTTGCCAGACAGTTCATGTTATAGCTGCTAATGCTGTTTCCTTTTATGTATAAACAGACTCTGTCATCCAGTTGCCAAGTGATATGAGGCAGGAAAATGAGTCAGAATTTTTTAAATAGCCTAATAAAATCAGCCTCAGAGCCAGGTTTCCCATAAATGGTGGTTCAGCGTGGGTCATGTGGACAGAGGACAGAGGTAGGACCTGGGCCCGCTCGTCTGTCCTTGGCTCCCCGGCAACAGCTCTTTGCTGTGTGTTAGGACTGCTGCTGAGCACACGGTAGACTTCAAATAAGTACTTATTGCCTCTAGTGCATTGTTTTTTCTTTCTATTGCTACTAATTTGCCTTCTCTTTCCCATCTCTAGGTGACAAAAACAAAATTCAAAAGTTGGTTCAAATGGCATGGACATTCGTCAATGACAGGTACACGTGTTCACATTGGTTTAATCGTGGTGCTTTCAAACAAGCAGGGACTTCATGTGTCATCTAACCCGAACCCCTTATTTTGTCGTGAGGAAACTGACTTGCCCCAGCTTTAGGGCCCAGTACATGGCAGAGCTGGGGTTAAATAAAATCCAGGTCATTTGCTTCCCAGCAGAGGGGTAACCTGTTATGTCATGGTGGTACAGGATGCTGAAGCCTTACCACCAGCTTGAAATAGAAGTCCAGTGCAATATACCAGAGAATTTTGACAAGTAAATACTTAAATCCATTTGATTTTGCAAAAGTTGGAGAGTATGTATCTGCAGTTTTATACTTTTTGTGATGGTTCTAAAGCCTTGATGTTCTTGGAGCCCAGAGACCTAATGAGGTACTGTATGGGGAACAGGATGCCCATGAGCAGCATTGCTTCATGTGAGGGGAAGGGTCAGCATCAGGGTTCCAGCCACTTAAGAACTTAAGCAGTTTCACTTGTATTTCACGGCATAGCAATTTCTGAAGGTGCTGGAATTCTTCTGCCTCTTCAAGGAACAGACAGATTAGTAGCTGTAGTTAAGTAACTCATTTCAGTATGTTTAGAAGGCTAAAAAGTTGCTTGTTAATAATACTGTATTTGATCATGTATAGGGGATTATAAGCAAACAAGACACTTGGATACAGCGTCTAATCTCCATGCATTCAGTTAGTCATAAGTGTTTGCTCATCCAAGTCAAGTCACCTCTTTTTCTTGTTGAACTAGTCTCTGCACGACCTTGTCACTACAGTGGGAACCAGAGATCATAGCAGTGGCAGTGATGTATCTTGCGGGACGTTTGTGCAAATTTGAAATACAGGAATGGACCTCCAAACCCATGTACAGGAGATGGTGGGAGCAGTTTGTGCAAGACGTCCCTGTGGATGTTTTGGAAGGTATGGGGCGTGCTGAGCTTTCTGCAGGCTGATCATTCTTCCCTGGGAAACTTGAGTCCCAAGAATGGATTTTCCCCAGTAGGTGCATGCAAACTATTCTTTAATTAAATTCTCTAGAGTGTTCATTCTGTCCAAGGGTGAACTGAAAATGCACAGCAGTGCTTCACACACCAGAGATGGGTGATTTGTTAATGCAGATACGACCCGGCATAATGGTCCTTGTAGGGGCATCATAGCTGCAAGGGACATTGGGGGCATTTTGAAACATCACCTTGTGAGGAATGCAATTGTTGCCTCTCGTTTAGACATCTGCCACCAAATCCTGGATCTGTACTCACAAGGGAAACAACAGATGCCTCATCACACCCCCCACCAGCTGCAGCAGCCCCCATCTCTCCAGCCTACACCGCAAGTGCCACCAGTGCCACCATCACAGCCGCCTCCAGGCCCCGAGCCACCCCAACCCCCACAGAAGGACTCGCAGCAGCCGGCCCAGCAGCCACCGCCGCCGCCTGCCCAGCCGCCCAAGAAGCCATCCCCGCAGCCTAGTCCCCCCCGGCAGGCGAAGCGAACCGTGGTGAGTGCGCCAGCTCAGCACCAGCTGGCTGGCTCCCCACGGCACCCCCACACACACACATCCCCGCGCGTCTTCCCCTTGCTGAGGATCGCCCAGAACTGCAGCCTTGCCGTCTGCATGTCTGTGGGCAGCTGGACTGCTGGTGTGGTTGAGGGGAGGCCTCTGGGAGCCAGGGCAGCTCCATCCTTCAGCACTGCTGTTGCTATGCCGGGGCCCCAGAACCTGCTGGGGTAGGCGTCTCTCCTGGCTGTCGGTGACGCGTGGTGTCTGTAAAGGTTCCTCCCCACAGCAGGGGGAAGCCCTATGGGACAGGCAGGGCAGCAGGCCCCGCTCACCACAGTTCCGACAGCTCGAGGAGGGCGCAGGACTCACTGCTCAGAAAAGCTAGTCCTTCTGTCCGATTTGACAGGGAAAGAGGAAGGAGGCAGAAATGATGATCTGTCAGATGCCTTGGTTTGCTCTGCAGGTTCAAGCCAAAGTTAATTTTTGTCTGAGGCTGTGTCTGGCTGTGATTCTGCAGTGCCTGAATAATCCGTTTTTCTGATGATTACTTTTCAGAGTCTTGGTTAACCACTGTGTGTTTTCTTTTGTAACAGGTTGTTTCTCCCAAAGAAGAGAACAAAGCAGCAGGTAATTTGCTGTTCTTGTGCTTCCTGTTTTAGTTTTATGTGTTGTTTATCAAAACTTTAGTTTCTTAATCAAAAAGTCATTCCCTTTCAGATTTAGAGTGACCTTAAAATTTAACATTGGAGCCCAGCAAAAACTTTATCCTACCTGCATTGTCTCTTCTGTGTATTCCCCGACTGTGTGTTTTTGGATTGTACTCTTAACAGAAAGTATCAGTTCAAAGAAAATCACTAGCGGCAGTGAAAACGTGCTCAGCAACATACGGTCGTTCCTTGGTATCAGCGGCAGCGGGGCAGCCTCCAGGACCCGCCTTGGATACCAGACTCGCAGATGCTCAAGTTTCATAGTCTGCCCTCCTTGTCTACAGATGCGAGGGGCCGACTGTATATCAAAATATAGTTAGGAATGTAGGTGAACCGCTGCAGCAGCATTTATGTTTGAAGGTTAATTAAGCCCACTGCAGTCAAAAGGCCCCCTGGCTGAGCAGCAGGCAGCAGCGTGCAGGTAGAAAGGAGGGGAGCCATGAGCCAGGGTGCTGCCTGCTGCTTACGGGGCCAGGCTTCTTTGCAACACCTATTTTCCCCATATTTGTGGAGCCGAGTTGGTTAACTTGTTTCTGTGCTAGAAACCAAAGCAGGATGGTCACAGAGACGACAAGAGGCGCGTTGCCTCCGACTCAGCCGGCCCCGTGGCTATGACCCCTGTGCAAGCACAGGCCGGATGTCTGTATTTCTGATTCTCTGTTTTCTCTGTTGCTTGGTTCCAGGGTAGGAACCTCAGGAATTATTTATTGAACTGCTGTGAGATCTTCACATTACAGTAAAGCTACATTTTTCTCAGGATCTTTGGGAAAATGATGAGTTCAGTACAGGGGAGATTTTTTTTTCCTAGCTCCGGATGGGTAAGCAGTGAGTGTGAGACACAGAAGAGGGGGCTGTGCTATGTTTCACGTGGGTGTACGATCTGCTGAGCCGGTACCACGTCTGTGAGAGGCAGAAACAAGCCCGGTGGGCCTTGGGGGAGGGCTGGCATCAGTCAGCTGGGGCGGACAGGGTGGAGTCTTTAGGTAGATGAAAACTGATCAGTGGAGTTGAGAATTTGGGAGAAAACAGAGAAATGAGTTTTACTGGACTGTGGGTTCAAGGGGAGTAGCTTTTGCTAGAACTGAAGATGGGATGGAAGCAGTGACCGTGCCCACCTGGTGGAGGGTGGGTGCTGCAGAAGCTGGGGCACCACGGGAGGTGTGAGCAAGAGATGGCACGGTCTGAGTTCATTCCGTTCAGAAAGTCTCCCGGCAGCACTCACGGCACGGAGGCTGGGGAATTGGGTCGGGGGGATCTCTCAGGAAGAGGGTAAGAGGGGCTGTCCCTGGACCTCGAATTCAGCCTGTGTTTGAGACAGAGGAAGCCAGGACTACTGAGCAACTACAGGGCGGAGCGGTGTACAAGCTAGAATAGAGCAAGTTTCAGGGAAAAAGAACCAAAAATACACACACAAAGATGGAGTGCTTTTTTGGTTGTATGCACACTCTGTCTACTCATGACCGGAAGTACGGAACACAGTGCAGCCTGTCTTGGCCACTTAGCCAAGTGTTCACTAGAGGTGCCGTTTCCAAGCAGCTCTCCCTGCTTTGCTGTCATGTCCGCTCACCTCCAGCCACCAGTTAATGGGCTGATAACTGGGAGTAAATACTTGTGAGAGAAAATAACCGCGGATGCGCCTGAGTAGGAATCAGACAGCGGCAGTTGCTCCTGTGCACACTCGGGGCCTTTGTGTTCTCTGCGCTAGGGTGGACCCCGGTGGGTACCACTTGGCACCTGAGATTCACTCCACTTCTCTCAGGTCATTGGACGGCTTATCTTAGGTGGTCAGGAGAAAACTGGGCAGATAGGGAAAATGGGCTGGCCATTTTTGTTTTGGGGAGGGAGGTGGTAAAAGGTGTGGGGCGTGCAGGGAGGGGGGGCGGGACAGAGGGATGTATTTGTTTGATTTCCTTTTTGTTCTTTTAAAAGGATGGTTTAGCCAGTCTGTCCTCAGCTTCCCTTAAAGCCTTCATATCTGCCTTTTCCCCAAAAAATTCCTTAACGGTACATTTTTTCTGTTCCTTCTCTCTCTCTCTCTCTGACATGTTTATTCTACATGAAGAGTAGCTTTTTAAAATCTATTTTTTCTGTTTAGAACCACCACCACCTAAAATTCCCAAAATCGAGCCCACTCACCCTCCATTGCCTCCAGCCCATCCACCTCCAGGTAAGCTCTGCTGGTCTCTGGGAAGACCAGCTTTTCTCTCTGCCTTTTTGAAGGACAGATTTTGGAAGTCCTGGGGAAAATTTCTAGAAGAATTTCAGAAATATAAAAAGACATTAATGATTTGGGTGTGGATATTCGCTCAGTGTTGTCCGACTTTTTGCGACTCTATAGACTGTAGCCCGCCAAACTCCTCTGTCTGTAGAATTCTCCAGGCAGGAATACTGGAGTGGGTTGCCATTTCCATCTCCAGGGGATCTTCCCAACCCAGGGCATTAGTTCAGGGTCTCCTGCATTGCAGGCAGATTTTACTGTCTGTGCCACCAGGGAAACCCCTGGAACATAAAGGGGGTTGAGGCGGGTGGGAGTTAGAGAGGGTGCAGACTGACTGGGAGAGATTTGATGACCCTGTCTGACGACAAAGGGGGTCATCAGAACACATCTGTCCTGGTCAGTCTGCACCCTCCCCAACCCCCACCCGCCTCCCCTAACCCGGTTCTCCCGCTCTGACCTGACTTCACGCCTCCGGCCCCTCCCCCTCCCCCCTCTGGGTGTATCCTTGTTGTTTCACATTTCTGAACTCACTGGGGTACTCTGCAGCCAGAGACACTGCATAGTGGAGACAACGTCCCCTCTGAAAAATTCAGATTTACACCAAGGGCCTGAAAAATACTGGAAGTCTTCTCTCCTGTCTCATTCTTGAGGGTCTGTTCCCTAGAGCCCCATCAGACCCCAAGCTAAAATCAGAGGGCCCCCAGCAGGGAGACAGGGAGACTTCTGAGAAGGAGCTCCTGTTGTGAGCAGTGCTGGTGGTGGGGATGTGGGTGGGGGTGGTGGGGGTGCATCTGAGAAGGGGGATAAGGGGTGTGAGGCAGGGGGCTGGACTGGAAGGGGCTCGGGTGAGTCTGCACTCCAGCTTGAGCATCCCAGAGAAATGATCCATGGCTGTTTCCCCTGACCTGAAATCTCTCCCCCTCTGCCCATCAGAGGTGTCATTTTTTCTGGCCTACATGTAACTCCAAGAAGCTGCATAAGGTCTACACCAGGGGCTTCCCCCTGCCCCCCGCCCCCATCTTCCTCCTCCTGTGGCTTCAGAAGCAGCAGCAGTGGTAGCAGCGGCCCCTGCCACCGCCACCGCCTCCTCGTTGCTTGTTCCTCCTGTCCCAACCCCGCTGGTGGGGCCAGGCTCGGGCCCTCTGTGACTGGTGCCCAGGCAGACTGCAGCTCCTCTCAGAAAATTGTTTTTTACAGCCAGATAATTTTGGGGATGTTGTGAATTCTAAGTATATCTGAATAATCTCTGATCTCTTGCATCCAGAGATGGTGAACTACCCATGAGAAACTAATTTGGAATTAGTTTTAGGAGAACAGCCCTGCCAACTTAGGAACATTGTGCAGATCCGGGAACATTATGCAGATCCGGGCAGGAGCGCAGTAGGCCTCAGGCTCCAGGCTCTGCGCCTGCTTCCTCTTGGAAGGGTCTCTCCTCAGTACACTTTGAAGAGGAAGCAGTTGTTCGTGTAGTCATGTGGAGAAGAAAGAATGAAAAGTACTTCACAGGCACCCAGTGAACTAGGACACTTCTGAGACGTCACTAGAAGTAGAGGTGGGAAGTTATAAAGAACTTCTCTTCTTTACCCATGGCATCATTTTGGAAGGCGAAGTGTTTAGCTAGAAAAGGCGGAAATTGGTGTCTGTTTGCTGAAGGGTGGAAGATGCTCCAGAGACCTCTGAGCCTCTGGAGGTGTCAGCTCTCCCCGTGGGCTGCTGGAACAGGAGCCGTGCCTCGCAGCCCAGGGCACTGGCCAGACCTGCCACCTTGGGGGGGGGGGGGGGGAGGGGCAGAGACTGACCCAGGTTTTGTTAACACCAGGTCACAAAGTGACCATCTCTCAGGCGTCCTGCTAGAACACCAGTGCCGCAGGCAGTTGGTGTGGTCTGGCCCCGGCCTGGGCTCGCCTTTCTCTGGGGGCCGAGATGGGCAGAAAGAAGGGGCCAGGCCCGTGTTTCTGCTAGATGGGGGGCTGGGGCAGAAGGGGCTTCCTGCACCGCCGGGAATGCCCGTGGCTTGTGCACTGGGGACCAGTGGGGGGACCCGCAGAGCGACTGGAGGCAAGGTGGTCGTGCGTGCTGGACCAAGGGGAACAAGGTGGAGGGCCTGTGTGGTGGAAACGAGCCCACGGCGCCAGGACGCAGGCGCAGGCCGTGCTGTCGGGCCACAGAAGCGAAGGTGGCCCAGGGCGCAGTGACAGGGCCGGGAGCGTGCATGGAGCCCTGAGGGGGCAGTGGCCCCTGCCTCCACACGCTGCCCTGCTGGGGAGGCGGCTGCCTGGGCAGGCCAGTGACCCGGCTCCTCTCTGCAGACCGGAAGCCGCCCCTCGCAGCCGCGTTGGGCGAGGCCGAGCCTCCAGGCCCGGTGGAAGCCGGCGACCTCCCGAAGGTCCAGATCCCTCCTCCGGCCCACCCAGCGCCTGTGCACCAGCCGCCGCCGCTACCGCACCGGCCGCCGCCGCCGCCGCCCTCTAGCTACATGACGGGGATGTCCACCAGCAGCTCCTACATGTCCGGGGAGGGCTACCAGAGCCTGCAGTCCATGATGAAGACCGAGGGCCCCTCCTACGGGGCGCTGCCGCCCGCCTACGGCCCGCCGGCCCACCTGCCCTACCACCCGCACGTCTACCCGCCCAACCCGCCGCCGCCGCCCGTGCCCCCGCCCCCCGCCTCCTTCCCGCCGCCCGCCATCCCTCCCCCGACTCCTGGCTACCCCCCGCCCCCGCCCACCTACAACCCCAACTTCCCGCCGCCGCCCCCTCGCCTTCCCCCCACCCACGCGGTCCCGCCGCACCCGCCCCCGGGCCTGGGCCTGCCGCCGGCCAGCTACCCGCCTCCGGCGGTGCCCCCGGGGGGACAGCCCCCTGTGCCCCCGCCCATCCCCCCACCTGGCATGCCTCCCGTGGGGGGGCTGGGGCGGGCAGCCTGGATGAGATAACCTTTGACCCCTTTCTTTTCCTTTGTTGTTTTTTTAAGAAAAGTTTTTCTAATCGACTTGAAAAGTAATTTAAGTGGGTAAGCAGCAGGGTACCTTGTATTATGTCGACAGTTGGAGTATGAGAAGTGGACGGGACCAGAGATGAAATCGGGGTGCCCCTGCGCACCTGGAGAGCGGGCGCAGCAGCCCTTGGGGGGCCAGGCCGCCCGGCTGTGACCCCGCCGCCTCTCCCCGCACCGCCTCCCCCAGCTCGGCCGTGTCCTCGGGCCCTGCGCTGGGCCACTTCCCGCTGGTGAGGGTGTTCACCAGCCATGTTGGCTCAACACAGAGCTTCAGTGAGGAGTGCATTTCCTTCTAGAAACCAGTGCCTATTTTTCCTGGAAAGTCGTTTTCAGTAGTCCAGTTCCGTCTGAAGTCAGGCTTGTCATTGCTGTCATTCATGAAGTTCTTGCCCACGGCTCCCAGGCCAGATGAACCGCTGTCTGATTTAGAGAGAACCCACACCGTTTGTGTTCGAGTTACTCTGAAGGGGCTGCCTTGCTTGGACGGCTCTATTCTTTTTCCAGGGAGAAAGGGAGAAATGTTCTTGGAAGTAATGTATGTTTACATCAATTTGCAAATTCCTATACATAGAGATATATTTTTTAAGTGTGAATGTAACAACATACTGTGAATTCCATCTTGGTTACAAACAAGACTCCTTCAGTCAGTTACCCAAATAAAATCAGTTCTGAAATGGCCCCTTTCCTTTGTTACGGGCAGAAGGCGGGGCGCCTGGGGTTTGCAGCCCAGAAGCAGGTCTTCTTCCTGGGGGTTCTGGGGGTACAGGAGCAGGGCCTGGAGGAATGCCCCCCCAGGAGATGGCCCAGGAGGACCTTCGGGGGCTGGTCTCCCACATCAGGCACCAGCTCGGGCTTTCTTGGGAGGAAGTGGTTGAATGTGATGGTGGTTTGGGCCTGTCCATCTCCCTCCATAGACAGGTCCCTGAGTTTAGACTGGAAACTCTTTTTCCTGCTGGTCTGTGACTGAGACCCTGGAGCAGCAGGCGTCGGCCCCACTGTCTGCCCCGAGGGGCCCCATCGCCAGAGACAATGAGCACTGCATACACACCGCAGAGGCTTGCAAGGAGCCTTTATTTATCTAGCGCAAAGTATACACTATCACAGTCTTCTCTGTTACTTTTACTAAAATAGTTCAAATCAATGTTTTTACCACACTATCAAAAAAGTTCTATTTCTTTTTCTCTCCCCAAATCAAAGTGGTTCAATAGAAGGTAGAAACGGGCACAGGAGTCCAGGGCTACCGGCACTGCGCGGAGCCGGGGAGGGGTCGGCCCGGGGCTCCAGCGTCCCATGGAAGACAGAGCGTGGCTGCTGGCCCGGGGACGGGAGCCAGGCACGCACCCGTTCCCAGAGAGCAGCACAAATAGTTCCCCCACGTTATGAAAAATATACACCTCTACCGCTCTGCAGTCATGCATTTCCTTTGTTTCTTTAAAAAAAAAAGTCAGTAGTATGCATGGTTTCCTCTCAAGTTTTCAAGAAAGAAAAAAAAAAATGAAAGGTCACTTTTCTCTTTCAAACACTGTGTGTGTGGCTAATAACTTTTGGATAAAAATGTGCTCAGTGGATTCTGATTCCAGGACGGGCCTGGCCACGTGGGATGAGGCTGGAAGGGTGACATCCATCACAGTGGGGATGAAAGCCTCAGCACAGGGGCCCCATGGGGCTCCGGCAGCAAAGAGTGTCTGAGACAAGGACCTTCACGAGAGGACGCCAGGTTCAGTGACACCCCTACCCACGAGCTTCAGAGCTACGGCTCCGGACCGGAGGAGGGGTGCCACGGTCGCCCTGCGCACACTCCCTGCGTAGTGGCAGAGCTGGGACTCCCCTGAGCTAGCCAGGATCCCGGGATCCTCCTCCCAGCCGAGGGTTCCTGCTGCAGCCAAGGCCCCAGGCCCGGTGCGGGCCAGGCAGAAGTGCTGCAGGCTTTTCAACAGCTTAGGTGAACGAGATGGTACCCCAGGTACAGCTCTGTCCTGGAAACCCGTTCCCAGGCAGCGCTGGCTCTGGACACAGGCAGGGGGCAGGAAGGAGACCTCAGCACCAGCCAGAAACGCCTGCCCCGCCCCATCCCCTGGATGCCACCGCAGCATTAGGGGGCAGGGTCACCTCCCTCCACCCAGGAAAGGTCCCTTTGAGGCCGTTCCCTGGGTCAGTTTGCAGGAGACCCACAGGTACCAGGACACCTGACTTATTGCTTATTTTCAGTGGTGGCCAAGCCAACCTGACCCAAACGTGACACACGGGGTTCTCGGACGTGGCTCCCACCCCGGAGACCCAGGAGGGGCGTCCCTCTGCCCTCCAGCTCGCTGCCCACCTAGGTAGGAATCACCCAGCTCCAAATACATACCCCTGGAGACAGGGAGCTCACCACCTGGCCTAAGAACCAGCTCCTCCCAAGGCGCCCGTAGCTTCCTGCAACGCCGAGGGCATCAGGACCATGCCTGATGCCGTCAGCAGCACCCACTCGGCACTCTGCGGGTGTGGGCCTCTCCCCGGGGATTGTCTGCCCAAGGGTGCCGACGGCAGACAGGCAGTGGGGATGGCTCTGAGTCCCCGCAGGGGCTGACCCAGGGCAGCCTCACCCATCCCTTCGCCTGGTCCCCGCCATTCACGTGAGCCTGGACGAGGCCAAGACAGCCTCTCGGACAACTCGAGTTTTCGGTACCGCCGAGGCACAGGGGTCAGCGGTGCTGGAGGAACTGGAAACCGAGGCCTCTGGGCCTTACTTCCCTCACACATAAATTTTAACATTTACATGTCTTGCTTTACAGTTTTATACATGGTCATTTTACACCAAAGGTCTTATTTGATCCCCAGAGCCCTGCAAGGAGGGCCTTAGGTCGCGCCCTCAACAAGAGAGGACACTGACGCTCAGAGAGGGAGGTTGCCACCCATCGAGGGGGGGCCAAGGCAGCGGGGCTCCCCCGCAGCCCCCCGCCCCCGCCAGCCACCCCTCCAACAAGAGGGTCCCCACTGGCCCCCACGCTGTGTGTGAGCTGCTGGCCCTGATCCTCTGAGTCCTCCTTTTTTCCCCACCAGGGGCCCAGAGATGCTAAGCGACTTGCTGAAGGTCAGACAGGAAAATGAAAGCCAGAGCCCAGGGGGGCTCCTCCCAAGGAGGGCAGAACCCCTTCACCTACGGCCACGCAGCTCCAGGCACAGTCACCCAGGAGGGGGCCTGGGCTCGGGGGGACCATTCCTGAGCAAAGGCTCAGCCACGCCGCGGCCCGCTGCCACCCATGCAGAGGGAGGCCCAGCCCAGAGGCTCCGCACGGCCTGTCGTGTGGAGCACAGACCAGGAAGTGCCTCAGGCCCCTGGGCACGAGGGACCCAGAAAGATGGGGCACCAGCTAGCACAGGCAAGGGGACACGGCAGAGGGTGTGTGGCCAAGGGTGGGGGTGTGGAATCTAAAAACAAGCAGTGGCTGGCAGCAGGGAGGCGCCAGGCCTGGGGGCCAGAGGAGGGGCCACGGCGGAGCCCCCGTCATCCAAGAGTCGGGGCACCCTGCTCGGGGAGCTGGCGTTCAGCAGTGGAGCCTCGTGGGGCGGTCCGGCAGGCGGCAGCCCAGGGGGCCCCTTCGCCAGGGCTGGGCGTCTCTGAGCACCCCTCAGCCTCTCGCCCACCGCCGGGCCCCGGGGCAGGAAGGAAGCTGTCCAGGCGGCTCTGCTTGGGAGCCGACTCCCCGGTGTGCTGGTGTCTGAGAGGCGGGAGGGGGTCATGTCCCCTGCAGCTAGGCGGCGACAGGCAGCGTCCTATGTACAGTCCACCAGGGAGAAAGGAGCCGGCGGCTCGGCACAAGGGCCAAGTCCACGTCCACGGGGGAGCGGCCCTACAAAGGCCCTTTGAACTGGTTCCCAGAGAGGTGCTGCCGGATGGAGGGCTTGGAGCTGGCGGCATCTCCCAGTTTCCTCCAGACCACCTGTGGGGAGGAAGGGGGTGCTGCTGTGAGGGGAAGGCCCACCCCAAGCCGCCCCTGGGGGCCTGTGGGCACAAACTGCCCAGTCGCTCAAGATCGCCTGTGTCCCCCAGAGCCCTGGGGCCAGGAGAGGGCACAGAGGAGACCCTCAGACCCGATCTGTGTACGCCCACCCTCACCACCACACTCCCCAGCCTGGCACAGATCACATCGGTGCGGACCTGGCCTCACAGTGGTCCAGTGGGGTCTACAGACCCGGGGGGGGCGGGAGGGCTTCCGGCAGAAGAGGGGGACTCAGGACACGCTACCCCGAGCGGGGCCTGGGCGCAGCCCCCGTGATCCCCCTTCCCTCCTGGCTCCCTCGAGGTCCACAGGGACAGCACGCATTGACTAGTCCAACAGGAGAACGCTCTGCCTCCCTGAAGCCCCAGAGGGGCCCAGCTTCTCAAAGCCAAGGCACCCCCGGGCTGGGGGTGTTGCAGAGCACAGAGGGTCCCACGGGCACCCACAGTGTGAGCATAACCTGTGCGCTGGCAGCCAGACTGACACCAGGGGACAGGGGTCAGGGGCCAAGGGTCAGGACGCGTGGAGCAAACCAGACTGGAATCAGGGACTTGGTTCTCAGGGAGGGGAAGCGAGGAAGAACAAAGGTGGGGCAGGGAAGGAGGGAGGGGAGGAAGGAGAAGGGAAGGAGGGAGGGGAGGAGGAGGCAGAGGGGGACAGCGCCCCAGAGCCCACCCCCAGGCCCTCGCAGCTCACGTTGCACATCTCGCGGACAATGGCCTTCTCCTTCTCACTCAGATCCTCCTCACAGCTGTCCTGCAGTGGCCGGTCAAGGTTTTCGTGCACCTCCAGGACCTGAAGGGGGCGAGCCCCGGGTCACCAGGCAGGCCCTGAGCAATGCCCACCGCCCCCCTCCCTGACCTCCCCCAGGCCTCGGTGCCCCCGGCTGCCCCACGGCACCCCCAAACCCCTCCCCCACACTGTCCCAGGCAGTCATGCCCCTCCCCCCTGCCTTCCTGCCCTGCTGCTCAGCGGCCCCGAGGCCCGGAGAGGGCAAATGTGGGGTCCAGGGTCACAGAGTCTGGAAAAGCAGCGGGGACCGGGGTGGGGGTCCCTCAAAGCAGCGGGAGCTGGCAGGGCCTGGCCCTCACCTTCATCGCGTGCACCACGGCCTCGGGCTTCTGCCCCGTAGAGCTGTAGCCTCCAGACGGGGGCGAGGGCAGCTCGGGAGCCAGGCAGGCTGGGCCCTGCGGGAATAGACTGCGTCTGAGCTCGGAGCTCGCCCTGGCTGGCTCCTGGGCCATGGGGCCATGGGTCTCCATGGGGCAACCAGCGGCTGGCAGAGGGCCTTGTGTCTGGGCTAGGGCCCAGGTGGGAGGAAACGGGGGCTAAGGTGATTGGGGGAGAGGAGGCTGGGAAAGAAGGCTGGGCTGGGGCAGAGAAGAAGCATCAAGAAACCTACCCCCTCCCCAAGAAACCTCCCAAATCCCATCAGTCAGTTCAGTCGCTCAGTCGTATCCGACTCTGCAACCCCATGGACTGCAGCAGGTCAGGCCTCCCTGTCCATCACCAACTCCCAGAGTTTACTCAAACTCATGTCCATGGAGTTGGTGATGCCATCCAACCATCTCATCCTTTGCGTCCCCTTCCCATAGGCCCCTGTAAACAGCCCACGGGGCAGGTCTATTGTTCTGTTTGGCAGGTCACCTAGGAAGGTGCGGAAGGGCTTGGGGCTCCAGCCCCAGGCAGCCTGACTCCTAAGGCCCCTCTCCCTCCCCCATTTCCACCCTCTAGGGCCATCTTGGGGCTTCCAGCCCTGAGCCGGACCTCCCAGCCCTGACACTCCCAGCCCTGTCTAAGAACGGCCACCACATTGTACAAACACTCTAACTGGCAACTAGAAGCCAGGTTTCCACAACAGCCGGGGAAGCCAGGAGATGAGGCCGGGAGAGGAAAGGATCCAGCCTCCGGTCCCCTGCCTGCCCGTGTCAGAGGCCGAGCATCTGCCCAGCTTCTCCCGGGCAAGGGGCGCTGGCCTTGTGGCCGTGGGGCAGGAGGCAGGCCTTCAGGCTGGAGTGGGGACCCCAGGCCCCAGAGCAAGGTCAGGAAGGACTCAAGGCCGCGCACAGAAGGAGCTCACACTCAGAGACAGTTGGAGCCCTGGGACCAGCAGGAGCCAGGAGGTCAGGAAACACTGGGCCAGGCCCTGCGATAAAGCAGCAGGTGCTGGAAGCCAGAGAGAAAACACCGAGAATGCCCCAGGGAGTGCATGAGGGGAGAGAAGACCCTGGAGTCCTTGGGCGTCCCTCCCGTCTCTGAGCCTTGGTTTTCTTCTCCATCAACCACCCGATGACGCCTCTGGAGACCTGGCCGACTCAGTGAGCTCAGAAGATGAGGCCATGGCCCCAGGATCCTCCCAGCCTGGCCGCACTGTGCAGGGACCCTTGGGGTCTGGAAACTTCCACCACCAGCAGCCAACCTCTGCACTCGCCCCACTGGCCAGCATGGCCTGGACCTGCTCCCAGGGGAGCCTTGCAGGCTCACCCTGCTCCTGGTTCCATGCAGAGGCCAAGACCCCACAGCCCTGGGGTCTGGGAAAGCTGGGCGTGGGCATGGTTCTCAAGGAAGGCCCGGCCCACTCTGGATCTCGGTCTCTGTCTCTAGCCAGGGTCCCTGTGTGTCCTAACTCTGGCCCGGGCTGCCTGGTCTCTGGTGTCATACGGGGGAACCAAACAGGGTCCTGGGGGTGGGGGGACAGGGGACTGGAGGAGGTGTGGGCCACACCCAGGTGTGCACCTGGGACAGAAGGCTGCCTTCCTCGCACCGGCCAGCAGGGGGCGACGGTCACACATGTACTGCCCTGGAAGGCGACTGGCCCTTGGCGGCTCTGGGCTCAGGTCCCGCCTGCACCTGGGACTTCCTGCTCCGCAAGGGGACATGTTCCTAGAACAAAGGCCAGGAGTGGCTGGGGGAGGCTGTGCAATCCAGCCCTTTCCTGGGCCTCCTCGATGGGCCGATAGCAGGTGCTAATGGGGCTTCCCTGGTGGCTCAGATGGTAAAATATCTGCCTGCAATTGCGAGAGACCCAGGTTCGATCCCTGGGTCGGGAAGATCCCCTGGAGAAGGAAATGGCAACTCACTCCAGTACTCTTGCCTGGAAAATTCCATGAACAGAGGAGCCTGGTGAGCTACAGTCCATGGGGTCACAAAGAGTCGGACACGACGGAGCAACTTCACTCACTCAATGAGTGCACGGAGGAGCCTGTGAGCGAAGCCACCGCCAGACACTGGTCAGGACTGTGAACCTGAGAGCATTTCCCAAACCAGCTCACCCTGGCAGACTCCCCCAGTCACAGCCTGGAAGGCCCAAGGATGCCTCCCCAGCTCCCTAAGTGCCCACTCGGAGCAGGGCAGCCTACCGAGGGCTGACTGCAACCCTCTGTGTGGAAGCTGTCTTTTCTATGCACCCATTTTACAGATGAGGAGGGGAAGGCTGCAAGACTTGCCTGAGGCCAAACAGCTAGTAAACCAGGGGGCCCGAGCCTCCAGCCCAGGGCTGTGGGACGCCAGGACCAGTGTCCAAAGTGGGGAGACAAGTGTACACCCCAGAGAACTGAACACAGACATCCACACAAGTGCCCCGTCTGGGAGTGTTCAGAGATGCACAATCACAGGAGGCAAAAATGGAACAGAGGCATGCACAGCGACTGACGAATGGATGAACAAAATGAGGGTCCCCACGTGGTGGGGTGCTGCTTGATAAGGAAAAGGCACGAAGCTCTGACACCTGCTACCGTGGGGCTGCACCCTAGAAACGGTGCTCGGAAGCCAGGGACAAAGAGTGACACGTGTTATGCTTCCATTTATATGAAATATCCAGAAAAGGCAAACGGAGAGGCAGAAAGCAGATTAGTGATTGTCAGGGGCTGGCGGGGGGGCGGGGGTGTGGGGAGGGATTGCTAATGAGCACGGGCTTGCTTTCTGGGATGAAGGAGACATTTTGCTGCGATGATTGCACGGATCTGTGAAGATACTAAAATCCACTGAAATGAACACTTAAAATAGCCTCACAGAAGGCGTGCCCACACCCAGGTACGGAGAGACAATGCCCCTGGCAGCGTCAGAGGGCAGAGGGTCCTCCCCACACAAGCCTCCTCTCCCGGTGCATCCGTACGCTGGACATGGGGCTCAGTGCCCAGCCGCTCCAGAGAGGCTCCATGCCCCCTAAACAGCCCAAGAGGCCTGGACCACGAGCCTCCACCCAAGCTCCGGCACCTCTGCGGCAGCCTCCCACGAGCCCCAACCCTCCCCCTCCGCCCCAGGAACCTGCCCCCCAGCCTCAGTGGAGCTTCAGGCTGGCCCCCAGCGCCCAGGCCCAATCTGGGGCCATGCTGGCATGGACTAGCCACGCGACCCTGGCAATCCACCCCACCTCACCTCAGTGGGCCTCAGCTTCCTTCCCTCTGAAGTGGGGTGACAATCCCTGGCCACACAGGGTGGCCTAAGGGAGGCCCATGGAACCCCTCTTAACGCCTCCTCCAGGAAGCCTTCCAGAAGCCTCCCTGCCTTTGACAGCCCAAGCAGCACTGTCAAGGCCTCAGGGGCTCAGCCTGGAGGAGCGAGCTTGCTCTGCTCACATCTCACAGGCCTGGCATATCACGGGAGCCAGCCGGGCTTGCCCCGCACTTTCCAGTTTTCACTGCACTTTACAGTTTGCAGCCTGCCGAGGCTTCAGCGCACAGTACCATCAGCGGTGAGGATTCCCACAACCCAGGGAGAGGGTACGAAGGGCTGGGGAGC